TTTGGGTTCCGTACCTGAGTTCTAGAGCCGCTACCAGTGCTCTATAGTTGTGCCTGTCATCTGCTGACAGCTGTGCAAGTATTTCCAGTGGTTGTCCCTTCAAGCTCGTTGCCAGGTATACTGCTTTCTGCTCCTCTGTCCATCCATTCATCTCCATTCGTTAACCATCGACTTAATCAGCCCCAGACAATGGCAAGCCCCTTCTAGACCCTGCAGTTAAACCCTAATGCAGACATCTTCAGTCCTGTTAGAAGTCACCTTCCAGATATGAATGTCAGTAATAGGAGTGATCCAGTATAAAGGAAGCCACAGGAATAAGATGGGAAAGCACCATGGGAAGCGCATAGAGCACAATTTGAGCTACTGGCAGAGATGAATGGTTGGACAGAGGAGCAGAAAGCAGTATATCTGGCAACGAGCTTGAAAGGACAACCACTGGAAATACTTGGAAAGTTGTCAGCAGACGACAGGCACAACTATAGAGCACTGGTAGCGGCTCTAGATAGGTCTCTAGGTCAAATAAGGTCTTGAGTGTAGCTTGTCCAGCCCCAGAATTCACCAAACCTTTGATTGAAATACAACTTTGGGACTGTGAGACATTCTTTGCTTGTTGCACCAAATGTTCAACCCAGTGAAAAATCTAGCAATCTATCAAGCCAGGCTCAGTGTTTGGAAGAGGGGTACCACAGGGAGGTTGGGCCACTTATGCATATTGTTACGACAGCGGTAGTCACGTGATTCTGGTAACACGTCATGATATTCTCGAAGGATCGGGGAACATCACAAATAATCCAGTATGTGCTAGGCGCCCTCTATTCCTGTATATATGTGTGCCGGGTAATGTGAGACAAATCATTCAGAATTGAATTGCAGACAGGCAGAGATAAAGATGGACAATTGAGTCAAGCGCGGTAGTGACCGTAAGTAAGTGCATGAATCATTGTGAATTATAGCATGTGTTTAAAGTGACTGTGGAAATTAAGTGTATTATAAAGTTGAATTGAGAAAGAATAAACTAGTTTTATTTAAGATAGGACTTGTATCGCTAAAGTTTCTTCGGAAAGAATTTCTACGGAAAATTAACAAACGAACACAGAGGCGTAACAATATGATTTATGCTTTTTACATGGTAAAGCCTACTCTGCAATGGTTTCAGTGGATTGCAAGGACATCATCATTGTAAGGGCTACCCAGTTAAATGATGAGGCACCACTCCTTAATTGAGGCAGTTTTTGTAGTGATGCAGTACAAAGTGGTAACTTCAAACTTGTCACAAGAGAGAAAGAATCCTGCAGTGGCTGTATCTTGGACAGATTGTCCTATCCAGACATGCATGCTCTTCTAAGCTTGAAAGTTAACCAACCATTCACACATCCTGGCACTGCAATGCAACTAGATGGGTATCCAGTGAATAGGCACGGTTGTTGTGATATTTCCATGGTTTACATACTGTAGTCTATGCTAACTATGCCTCCACCCAGACATTTTCCTGTAAGATACAAGTGAAGCTTTTGTATTGAATGTGGAGCATTGTGTTACTTTTGACTGAGTTGCCTGTACCTTGCCAAGCAGCAAGGTAGACAAAGCTATTGGTTTTGATGATGGCTCAGCAGATGAGAGAGAGTCAAAAACAGAAAGTGAACAAATTTCCTACAGCTCCAGGGCACTAACTGAGCCAAAGTTGGACCTGTTCACCAATTTATGGAAGTGCAATGGATAGCTTGTATCAAAAGATTTTATGGTAAACCCAACTCTTTTAGGGCTTGGTACATGCCTGTCAGAGTACAGGGGCAGGAGATGGAGTTCTGGTTTATACAAGAGCAGCCAAAACACTGATAGGTCTCAGAAAATATCAGGGTCTTCTAATCGAAAGCAACACATGGGCCAGTTACTAATCATACAGAGTTCTTCAGTAATTCTTATTGTGTTAATACTTATAATATATTAGTATGTTCTTGATTCATTATGACGTCAGGGTATGTTTATTCAGTTACATATTTTCTGGGTTTTAAAGGAGACTGAGGAAGTTGATTTTTCTGGTGTTGATTTAAATTTTACTACTCATTCCAGTAACTCTTAATAAGTTCAAGTATCGTCCAAAGGTATGTCTTCTATCATGTTACATTTATCTCCTGACAAAATAAAATTTCCTTCTTCTATCAATACTAATTCATTAGTAATAGATTTAATACTTACATGACATTTAGTTGTTCAATCATCAACAGTACTCATATTTTTACTCTGTTGTTGGAATTAGAAATTTAGCTACTCCCTTAATTATTAATTACATCAGGTTTCCTAAATAAAACTTAAATTTCTAACCATGTAATCTAACATTCTATTGAATGTCTGAAATAATTCTTTATAATCTAATCCAGCTACATTTCCTGATGTTTTATGTTGTCTCTTATTCACATAATACATCTCATTTCTGGGTTAAAACTATCTCCTCTCTAACTTGTACCCAAGATTATTCCTCAAAGGGGCCTTTCTATCTGGTGTAATAGTTAAGGTATAGGTGGTAGTTATTGTGCTCGTTTGTATGGGTGTATCGCAACTTCCTGGCTCTGTACGAGTCTCTGTGCTACTACTCGTGTCAACATCTTGTGACTCTTGAACTCCTGTTTCATTTTCTGTGGTTATCATTGAGTCATCTATATACACACGCACATCTGGGTTGTTTGTTTCTATGTCTATCTTGTGTTTAGACTCATAATTTATTAGAGTATCATTAAATTTGTTACGTTTTCTTTTATTTCATTTTTTATCTTCTCATTTCCTTTTTATGTTTTATATGTTTCATATATTTTCTTTAGTCTGTTTATATGTACTACTTGTGTATTCTTGCAAAATACTTCTTTGGCTTGTTTGTTTAGTTACTCTAAAGGGGTGTTTCCATAACTGTGTCAGTTTCTTTGTGTTACTTCTCTTAAATATGTGAGCATACAGTAGTATCTTATCACCTATTCTTACGTCATTTACTTGAACTGTCTTATTTGCATGTTTCTCTCTTCCTTAAGCAGCATTTATTAAGTTTTTATATGTCAAGTAAAATGGCAGTTGCATTCACTGCAGGATCTTATCTTTACAATCTTTGTCTAGGGTATAACTTAACAGCCTCAGATACCAATATTTCTAACATGGGTAGCATCACTTCTCATTCATGTAATAAGGAGAAAAGATTTTCCTGCGTTGACTCATTATCTGTACTTCTGTAAGCAAACAGTAAGAATAGTGTTTGTTCATTCAAAAGTTTCTGACCTCTATCACAGTGTTATGTCCAATAATGTCTTATCAAACCTTTCTACTAATCCATTTGCTGTGGCATCATACCAGGTGATTTCTATTTTCTTTATAGGGCCATCACAACAAACGCCATCAGTGTTGAAAGAAGGAGCTGTAAGGTCTAAACACCCATCCTTTAATCATTAGTATAGTTTGTGAACATGTTGGTGTATACTGGTAACAATTAAATATAGTAAATGAGGTCAATAAACTAATTTCATATTTTCATCATTAGGAGTGTAAACAAATTAATACTGTAGTTTGTGTAGATAAAGTATATATTTTATCTTTTAATACATCTGATATAATCCAGTGATCTCAGACAAAATCTTTATTTACTCAGTAGAAGCTCAGAAGAAAACATTAAGGATTACTTACAGACTTCATTTTATAAAAAAACAAAAATGAAAAAAGCTCTTTCAGGTTTATAAAGGTTTTACAATATGAAATCCATCTTTTTTTTGAGCACCAAAGAAAAACTTATACTTTTTTTACAGGGATATTATGGGATCATTATACATTGTCACAAGTGTTAAATATGCCTAGCATTAACCTAATTAATTGTTTGGCTTTCCAAACTCGTGTAACATTTACACAATGCATCAATATGGAAATATCTGTTGAGAAAACTTTATGATCTCATGGAAGAAAAAGGTTGTCTGTACATGTACTTCAGCAAAAGATGGCTATATTTACAACGTAGTTCTATACAAGTTTAACAAGGATAAAAAAAAAAGAACAATGAATTATTTTCTTCTTAGTTTTCATAGATTCCATCTTGTAAACAAAAAATATCACAGTACTAATTCTGAATTACAAAAACAAATATAACACTTTCTGTTAGAATAATATTGCCATCTTATTAGGCATTTACTGTGCAGCTTATTGTAAGAAATATAAGCCACATGGTTTAAGATGTGATATTTTTATAGATGATGAGTAAGGAAATAGTTTGCTTCAGGGTGAAAATACCTTACCAGAAGTTTCTTTCCCCCTCCATTATATAAAGCATAGTAACCAACATAATATGACATGCAACAAAGGTTTTTTTTTATCACTGTTTCAATGCAGTTAGGCACTGTTTTAAACAGGTACAGGTTTTGTTAATTTGGTGATAACTGAGCTTAGGTATTATAAGAATTTTTTCCTTTTCTTGTCTCTCATCTGTATCACATTAGATAGGACAGCAACATGAGCAACAGATTTTGCTGTCACGATTATATGGATGTACACATAATGCCTGTTGTTAAACAGTGGTCATGGAAACATTGGTAATATACTAAAGGATGTTCATCCTAATGGTTTCTGTATTGAAATAATCAGGTTCATTAGTTTGTAATGTTTCTGTAACAATGGTCCTGTTTTCCAGACTTAACAATTGATTGAGAATGTAACGTGCAATGTATTTTCTTCACGTACACCTATGTGGGTTGATACTACCAAGCATCAGTGTATCTGACATCACATTCTTCTAATGTTGGAAGTTTTTTCTGAAAATGTAAAACATTATTAAGTTTTTAATAACAAAAATATTAATATAGATAAAAGGTTTTACTTCTGTATTAAAATACACTATTATTATCTTATTAGATGCTTGAAATATTCCAAATGTTCTATAAATTGAAACTACATGGAACTTTTTTGTATATTTATTTATCTGTCCTAGTGTTTAAACAGTAACATTTTCAATATTTATATTTTTTTCATAAATGAATAAAAAGTACTTTCTACACAATATTCATCATTTTCATATATATATAATTTTAAACAGATTTATGAGTGAAAATGTATATGAATCTACCTTAGTAAATACATATAACTCACCTTCAACCATTCAAATGTGTGGGAGGACAAAGAGGTACTGTTTAAGTTTAGTTTCCGTAGATTTTTCAGAGCTGAAAAAAATACAGTTGGTAACAGTTTTGGTTTTAAAAACTGAGTGATATACATTTACAGTGATTAAAAAAATATATATAGATATTTAATAGTATGGGAATTGTTGAAAATATTTTTTAACTAATGAAGAGGTGAAATTAAATGTTTTCTGTAGAGTGCATAGTAATTCTGTTGCACTGGTAGTTATTTTAAATACAAGTTGCCTATTAGCCAAAAAAAAACATTTAGGGGCAATCCTAAGCATGTCTTAAAATGATTTTGCATATTCCATCAAAATATATAGAAAATCACTATTTCTCACTGTGTGAACTGATCTTAAAATATTCACTGGTGAGAATGTTTCAAGGAGGATAGGCTTTGGAGTATCAGCAACATGTCGTCAGTTTGTCAAAATGTTTTGTATTATATTTAACATGGAAATGACTGTATTGTGACCAGAGCTGGATGATTAGTGGTATTTGCTACCCAACAACCTCATTAATTCATTACTGGATTGTACAGTATTAAAAAACGAAAGTTGGCAGAGAGCGCTGCTAGCAAGTTGGTGGTGGATGCTAACAAAGTTGAATAAACTTTAAAAACAAACAATCTTATACTGCTAAAATTGGGCAGAGCACAGACAGCCCATTAATATTCTGATTACTTAGATAGTTGGAATAATTGAAAATATTAAAGAGTAGAAACACCAAATTAAATTAGTTGATTAGTTTGGGAAAACCAATTTAACTGTAATTTGAATTAATTGGTTGTTGAAATAATCAAAAATAGTAATAGACAGAAACACTAATTTAAATTAATCATACCTGATTAATCAATTAATTTATGTGACACTAATTGATATAATTCATGCTCATAGGTAAATGATTATATAAATTTAATTGCTCAACTCCATTCGTTATATTTGTTAATTTCTTTTCTTCACCAAAATGCGAATTTCAGTGAAGAAAATATTATGTAGATGCCTAATCTAGTCTTTGATTAACTATTCCAACTGCAACATACTAGTTTTGCTAATTTCATCAGTGTTGCTTTGAAGTGAAGCAAATAAATAAAGTAGGCCTCATATAGTGATGGAATATATGCAATTTATTTCGTTTAGATATATATGTTTGTATATAGTCCTTTATCAACTACTAATAACCTAGAATACTTTAGTTAATCATGACAACTAATAAGTGAAAAATTGTGTGATGATTTGGCAAAAAATGTTCAACTTGATACATTTAATAGTCTTCCAATGAGCATGTTTGAATTTTACAGTAAATGTTATGTTAAAACACACAATATTTTGAACATTACACACACACTATTAGCTACAAGTCCAAAACAAATGAAAAATTAATTTTGACATTTAAACCTACAAAAATAGAAACCACCATTGGCAAATCATTAATGGTCTCTCTCTGCTATATACACACACATAGTGTTTTGTAATTAAAATAATATACCGTACCACAGCATAATTACACATTAGTTACTGCACACTTAAATGTGAACTGAGTGGGTCTGATCTATTGATTCATGTTTTTATAATGGATGTCTATTTTTTTACAAATGTTTAAAATCACTAACATTCATATTTCAATTGAGTTAACTGCATTCATTGACTTATAAAGAGCTAAATCAGAATACTTTAAAAAATTCAATATGGCTAAAACTGAGAAAAATAAAAACAAATATTTTAGAATTACGAAGAAAAAAAGGAGAAAATTATGGCCTTATATAATGAAAACAAAACATTGTTTTGAAGAGTGTGGTTGAAAGAATATTAGAGCATTTACCTATACATGGGAGGTTAAAGTCTAATAAAAGGAAGGGATATCCAAAAACAAAACATTCAGACAGGAGAATAGTTCATTCTAAAATAAATATAAAGATAAGAATATTCATAAAGTTAGAATTGCAGCAAAACTGTTTAAGAGCTGTTGCAAGAAAGTGGTTAACAAGGAAAAGTGGCAGCCAGAAAGCCTAGTATTTAATTTGTGGACATTTATTCAAACTCTGCAATGGATAAAAGAAAATTAAAAATGAATAGAATGATACGCCATGAATAGACAAAAGCAGACACCAAGATTTACAGACACAAGAGGAACTTTTGGGTGTATGTGACTAACAGAAGTTTAATCAATAGTGCATAAAAAAAAAAAACAGTGAAAGATGGTGGTGAGTTTGTAAACATGTTGGAATGTTTTTCTGTTCCAGGAGTGATAGATATTATCAAAACTGATGATATTATGAAGAAGTATCAGTACCATAATATCCTAATTCATCATGCAATACCCCAAAGACAATGTTTTATTATCTCTAGCTTTGAATTTCAACAGTATAATGATTCAAAACAAAATACCTTGCTGAAAAAGAAACATTTGAAGGAAAAGGAAAGAGCTGGAGCTATAAACGTTAAGAAATGGCTATTTCATAGTCTTTATACTAATCCAATGAGAATTTGTGACATGAGTTGAAAAGCACTGATGTAACAGACAAATCAACTAACCTATGTACAGTAAAAATGGAAGAAAAAATCAATTTGATAGTCTCAACAAACTCAAAGAATCCATGTCTGATAGATTATCATATAAATAAGGCGAAGAAAAGACCTATTAACTACTGATTATTCAGTTTGCTCCAAAATAAATTTCTTATGCCATATATTGTAATACTGAATATAACATATAAACCAAATCAACATTTTTTTCTTTTGCAAACTTTCATGAAAACTTGAATGTTGATAACTTGGATTCAGCAGTGGCATGGGGAAAAACCCTCATTGCAGAATTCTGTCTATAGCAGTCCTCCTAACTAAAATATCAGGATTTGGTCCTTTAATAGTTTTAACTTCTCCCTACATTGTGATTTCCATTGACATGAAAGTGTTAACTTGTTTTGGATGAGCAGGGTAGTCATATTTTGTAACTTTAACTAAATGAAGTATCCCCATTAAGATCAGACCAAGGGCAGTGGGTTTAATGGTAGTTAGAAGCAGCATCAAGCCATAAAAAAGCTGTGAAAAGAGTGCCAAGCCTGAGGTAATTTTGGCTTTTTTTGATAATAATTAAAAAGAATAAATACAATTTTTAGATACAGAAAAGCCTATTTCTTTTGAATGTAATAAAATTGGATCCCTTTCTAGCCTCCCCAACTAACTTTCTGTCCCCCAACTGCCTCCTAAATAAAATACCCTAGAAATAACATTGTGATTCACACTTTTGACTGATACTAGAATTATATCAAATTAGGTTTAAGAAAACTGGTATTCAATTTGAGCTACTCAAGTGCCATACCTGGATAAACTACTCAGGCCCAAATTAATTTCAAAAAGCGGGTTTAGTGACCAACATATTTTTCATATAACATACAATTATAACACACAAAGAAGACACAATATATATACTTTATAAATTAATAGGTTACTTACTAAATAATGCAGTTAATCCTTTGTCTGTAACTTGGGTTTCACACAAGTTTAGCACTTCAAGATTGTGAAGATGTTCTGAGATTAACATGACACCTGAATCACCAAACTATAAAAAGTTGGTAAAAGAATTAAAAGGGCTTATATTATGAGTTTATTAACAAAAGTGATAAAATAAAATAAAACTGTCTGTAATTAAAAAAAACATATAAAAGTGTAAGTTTCAGACTGACTGTTAGGAGTGTTTATTATATAATATGTAGTAAAATTTCTCTGACAACATGCTTTTGGAAAACTATGATAGCAACAGTAACATATTATGTAATGAAGAACACTGATGGCTAGCTATTTCCAATGTTGTTTTTTTTCCCTTTGATAGTGTATATTCAGGTAAGACTTAGAAACTACTGTAATGCAGTAAGACTGTTATGTGAGCAATACATTAAAATTTTTTACTTTGTCAAATTTACAGCGAAATTTCACTGACAAACAAAATCAATAAAGTTGTTGGTTTTCTTATTGCAATGCTACACAATGGGTTATCTGCATTTTATCCACTGCGGATAATCAAACCCTGGATTTAAGCATTGTAAGTCTTATAAACTTACTGCTGACCCACCAGGAGACATCCAACAATAGAGCTGTTAAGTTTTTACTTTTACTGAGAGGCTTTGGGCAGTAAAACAAAATCATTATTATTTTTTCGTTGTTTTGGTTCAAAAAAATAAAAAGTATAAAATTTGATTGTGTATTTTGTCATTTGAGACTGGTGTCAGTTCTTTTATCTTACAAGACTTTGCATGCTTTTACAGTGACTTGTAAAATTATTTGTCTGTCAAAATTGAAATGTGGCTATAACACCTCCATTGATGATATTCAAATGCACATAGGATCAGCAGAAAAACAAAGTTTGCATTGTATATAAAATCAACAGAAAAACAAAAGTTAGAATCAGAAAACAAATCCAATAACTCAAACATTTGTGGAAAGTGGACTATCCTTCACTAGTGTTAAATAGCACCTTGATTGAATGCAAAGATAATAAAATGAAAAGAGTAAGCATTTATTCTGAAATACTATTTCATTTTCTTAGTGTTTTTAAGGGGAATTACTTATGTAGTGTAATTAGATCTTAGGTCAAAAATCTGTGGAACAAGTCTGCAACAAGACTAATTATTGAAGCATTGTTGGTAAAAATAGTTCAGAAAGCTTGGAGAATAAACTGTCATAATGTCATTTATTTGAATGTACTCTCACTTGTTAAGTCTATTAAAGTAGATGAATGTTTTAAGAGAAACATCAGTTTTACATTTAGAACAATCTTATGTGATATTGCTGACTTACTTGAGTAGACCAGAGATTGAGGTAGCGTAAGGAAGGCAGCTTTATTAATTGTTCAGCACTGGTACAAGTGATGTTGGTAAAAGCAAGAGACAAGCACTCTAGGTTTCCAAATGAACCACAGCTCAGCAGTTGACTAAGATCATTGTCCTACCAAAATAAGAATAAAGGGTGAGAAAGTACAAACTACTCACTGTGGTGTGTCATCAAAATATTACGTAAGGTAACCATTTTAAAAATATGTTCTCCACATACGTATATATATATAACCTGGTTAAAGCCATCACAATTAAAGATTTAAGTCCTTCCCCCTTCTACTTATGATAAACACACTTCAAGTTACTTGAAAGTTATGAGCATAAATATATAACTTTAAAAGTTGGGAAGCTATATGTATGATGTGAAGTTGATCACTAAGCAATGCCCATTGAAAGTGTGCCTTTCAAGAGTAGTAATTATATATATACAACTCATTGTTGATATTTTGTTCATTTTAGAAAACTATTTTTAGATGCACATTGCAGGGCTAAGGGCTTAAATTAAGCTAGTAGTAATGAAACAGAAATATATACTGTAGTAGGTCAGAAATGTATTTATTAAGTAGCTCCATTAGCTGTATCAGAGACATGTAATTATTAATAAAGTATAAAATAGTATATTTTACTTTTACCAAGAAGATAGCATTATATCTAAATGTACAACATGTTGTGATGACTTGAGTATCATAAATATATAAATAACTGATGAATGCATCAAGTAATTTATCAAAGTTAGAATACTTTATACTTCTCACTATAACAGTATTTTTCCAGAAACAAACATGGTGCTTAATGCTGCTTATTCAAAACTTTGAACCTTCTACATTATATTGACCTCTGACTTCCGTTATATTTAGTTTTTCATTTACATCTGAATAATTCACCAACATGTAACCTCTCCCTTTAATCTATGATCATCAGAAAAGTTTATTCTATTTTAATATATTAAAATTTCCATGATATATATATATATATATTATCATATATGTATACTGATCACACAAATAATTGCAACAACACTCTGTATTTAAGATATTAATAAACGACTTGCTGAAAACACCAGTTAAACTGTGATGTGGTATTTCAAACTGATTTCCCTTTGAGTGACAAGATAAGGCCACAGAATAATAAGTGATTATGAGTTCTATAAATAACTGAGTTTGTGAGAAAGAGACTGGATTCAATTGTACAAAAGTGCAACCTTTATTCTAGACCCAAAGTTAGAGTATGTATTTATGTGACCTGTTGGATAGCAAGACCAAAACCTTCTCTCTCTCTAGACTTGTTACAGACTGACAAAAACCTCGTCTCATGTAACTATGACTCTCTTAAGGTAGCCAAATGCCTCGTCATCTAATTAGTGAAGCGCATGAATGGATTAATGAGTTTCCCACTGTCTCTATCTACTATCTAGCGAAACCACAGCCAAGGGAACGAGCTTGGAGAAATCAGCGTGGACAGCAAGACCAAAACCTTCTCTATCTCTAGACTCATTACAGACTGACAAAAACCTCACATTGCTTCATTAAATAAATATTGTCAGATCCACAGTCTGGCAAACTAACCACTGAGCCACACTTGGCCAGCACAAGATATAATCTTAAAAGAAAAATTCAGAGTGTCAATACTCCTATAGTCATTAAATACCTCCATCATTCATTATAGGAGCTTAGTGATAACAAATGGCTTGATGATTGAAACACAATTAGGCCAAAGTTATGAGGGTGAAAAAATTTAGTTCAAATGATAAATGTTTCTAATCTTTAAACGACTGAATTATTTGAACATTAAGATTTTAAATATAAACTTACAGTGGATTTTGGTGGAAGAGCAAGTTTTCGTGGCCCTCCTTTTTGTTGCTAAAAGAAAAAAGTTTATGTTAATGTCTGTACACAAATGACTTTTATATACTCTGAAAAGTATTTCTTTACATGTCAAAATAACATCGTCATAAAATTCAAGTTATATTTTTGTTATTGGCATGTTTCTAAACAGATATGCTTTACTTTTTTTTTAATTTGGAGAAAATTATAAGACAATTCTGATTTGATTTACAGTGGTTAATTAGTTCAACACATGTAATGCCAGACCATAATTTCATCATAACACAACATGTAACAAAATTAAAAAAAACTGTAGTATTTTCTGTTATCATTAACACTTTTTCAAATTAGGGGTCTTATCAGAGTATAATCATCTATGATCCAAATATCTGTCTATCATCTTGATAAACTCTGTTTAGAGATTCAAATACATTAATTTGTTTTACTAAAAGTTTTATCTACATGTATTTCTTTTACTACACTAATATAGAAGATTGCAGTTAAATCCTACAAGCTTTAGAAGAATGGCTGGTAAATTTTCATCTAATAAGTATGAACACCCACTACTACACATACAAAGAGCATATTATACAATATAAAAATGCAATATAAACAATTAGACTTCTCTAGTAGTATAAAAATGTACCTGCTGTGTTTTTAAAATTATGCTAATATACAACTCAAGACAATTTTATAACTTTATGAATTTGGAATTTGGTTGTCCAAAATGAAAACTCAAGAAACTCGAATAACAACAATAATAGTTTCAAATTATGCTCACAAGTTCTTGTAAGTGCATCTGTTTCTGACAAAGGGCAGCATAATGTTCTCTGCCTGTGGATGTACTCTGAAGGGTTGAGATAATCTGAAGCTGTACATCCTTATTCTCTATGATTTGAAATTCCATCATTGCACACAATATTTGTTGACATGTTTCATCCTCGCGCAGGGCTCTGAGCATACATGGTCCTAAGTTCTTGCTTAAGCTTTGAAGAAATCTTTTTCTTCGACAGCAACATTCAAGAAATTGCTTTAACTGAAAAACAATAATATAACATGTGAAAATATATATATAATAAGAATAATACTACCATTTATTCAAGGTTGGTTGTTAATGAAGATATTTTTTTTATTAGGAGTATACATCGACATTAAAAAGTATCTATTCATTTGTCTTTCACTGAACACGCTTGCCCTTTCAGCCATGAGAGCATTATAATTTGATGGTCAATCTCACTAATTTTTGGTAAAAGAGTAGCACAAGAGTTGGCAGTAGGTGGTGTTGACTAGCTGCCTTCTCTCTAGTCTATCCCTGTCACATAGGGACAGCTAGTACAGAGAGCACTCGAGTAGCATTGTACAAAATTCAAAACAAACAATCATTTGTCCTTCAAAACTAAAATCCCATTTTGATTTTTTTAAAAATGCATGCCATATAGTTCTCAATTACTTTTTATATTGATTATTATAAATATTTTTTTTACAAATAAGATCTTTATTGAACAAATTCTCACTTACACAAATTTTTATTAGGCTTTCTTGTAACTTATGGTCAATATTCTTACAAATTATCATATGTTCAAGATGTATCATTAAATACAGGAGTTGAATTACAGTGAACAGCCCAGAACAGAGTCCTGCTTCTTGAGAATTCAAATCACTAGCATCCCTAGTCTTCTGATTGGAATGTCAAAGTTAAATTACAAAATACAAATTCAACCATAGATTAAATATATAGCAATTAATTATGACCATATATATATGTGTGTGTATATATATATATATATATGCAGATTTTGTTAAACAAGACCAGTGTCTGTAGGTTTACTTTCTTCTTAGAATTCTTCTCAAGAAGTCGATAAGCCATCTTAACGTTGTTAGAACAACGGGTAAAGGTTGTAGCTAGTGATGAGTTGGCTGATGCGTTTCGAATGCATTCTGCATCCATTATCAAGGCTGAATGTTGTGTGAATTGTGATTACTGTTGGTGTACTAGGTCCTGACGTGCGAGTTTTTGGTTGTGGATGCGGTCACAGTGTTCTTTGATGGCTCCATTTTGTAGGTGCATTGTTAGGCGTCTTGACAAGGTTGTGGTAGTCATTCCGATGTAGGAGGCATTTGCCAGGAGCTCGCAGTCTCCTTTATTACACTTGTACTCGTAAATGACGTTCACTTGCTGTAGATC